GAATGAACCATTCAGGTATATCTTGGACATTTCATCTAATACAATAATACCAATTTAATTCTAAAGGTTTAGTATTGTTAGTACTGGTTCTATTGTTTATCATTGATGTAATTCTTGTATATTTTAAACTGTTTTTTTTTAGTCACTTAGTTTAGAAATATCTATTGATTATTTTGTGTCATTGTTATCCCAAGAGTACATAATGAATGTATTAACCATCTTAATACTGGCTTATTAACTGTTGTCTGAGTTTGATATTGTTATACGCTCTAGTGTGGTTTTTCTATTGTTAACTTTCTGTTACCTTGACAACGTTATGTCATTTACCAACATTTACACATTATGGAATGCATGTAAACTAACCCCTGTTTTCTTGCGAATGCCAGTTACGTGATACACGAACATTTGTCCCCCATATAAAAGGTCCAATTTGGTAAAATGCTTCTAAAAGTTAATTGGTGGTTAGAGGGGTTTGTGACCCCTTTTTTCCTAACAGAAATATTCGTATAGAAAGATTGTTAAACGATGCAAAGCCACATTTCGAAGATAGCGAGTCCTCACTGTTTTTCACACCACATCGTTTAAAATAGCAACGGGCTTCGAAACCACAACCCGAGCCAGTCAGCACCAATTCTCTTGATACAAAGTGAAAGCTATGGTAATGAAAGAAATTTGACCCAAATAATCAGAGTGATGAATCTAAGCCTATTTCTTAGTATCTTTAACGAAATATTAAACAAGCTTCTAGTCAATCATTGAAACTATTGTTTCACAAGAAAAATAACTGAAGAAATTGAAATCACAACAATACCATTCGACTATATGCTTATCTGGCCCACGATACTGAAGAAATTGAAATCACAACAATACCATTCAACTATATGATTATCTGGCCCACGATACTGAAGAAATTGAAATCACAACAATACCATTGGACTATATGCTTATCTGGTCCACGATACTGAAGAAATTGAAATCACAACAATACCATTGGACTATATGTTTATCTGGTCCACGATACTGAAGAAATTGAAATCACAACAATACCATTCGACTATATACTTATCTGGCCCACGATACTGAAGAAATTGAAATCACAACAATACCATTGGACTATATGTTTATCTGGTCCACGATACAGAAGAAATTGAAAGTCCAACAATACCATTGGACTATATGCTTATCTGGTCCACGATACAGAAGAAATTGAAATCACAGCAATACCATTCGACTATATGCTTATCTGGCCCACGATACTGAAGAAATTGATATCACAACAATACCATTCGACTATATGTTTATCTGGTCCACGATACTGAAGAAATAGAAATCACAACAATACCATTCAATATCATCTAGTACCTTATCATTAGTATTGTCATAATATACTAATATCATCTACGTGTTTTAGTACTAACATATTGTATAAGTTGTCTGTTTAAACAATCTCCATGTTTTAGTACTAAAATATTGTATAAGTTGTCTATTTAAGCAATCTATTTTAGTACTAAAATATTGTATAAGTTGTCTGTTTAAACAATCTACGTGTTTTAGTACTAAAATATTGTATAAGTTGTCTGTTTAAACAATCTACATGTTTTAGTACTAAAATATTGTATAAGTTGTCTGTTTAAAC